AATCCGCTCTGAGCTTCAATCAGTCACGCTAATTCTTACGGCAACGACGGACCCTTCGGCAACCGATGGACAGACACTCAGGTCGCTTTCCGGATTTGAGACTCACGCTCACCAATCCACAGACTAAGAACTTTCAAAACCAGGACTCATGCAGTGGCAAAGTCACCTCTCTTTGACTGAAAGCTGCTCGGTTTCCACTCAAAGAACTTCGGTCATGGCTTTGCAATACTAAGCTCGACTGGCTAACGGTTCCCAAAATCGAGGCAAGTCTCCACGAAATTCAGAAATGCCAGCCTGAGTAGAAAGCAAGATATCGATGAGCGGTGACTTGAGGGCGAGAGCTCAAGCTTCTGAGAGAGGTGGCTGTTGACGTTCACGACAAAGGGCCATTCAGCTTGTACATGTGGCAATGCTCGTTTGGATATGTAGCCACGTATGTATGTATACATGTATGTATGCATGCATGCATGCATGCATGCATGCATGCATGCATGCATGCATGTACGGACGTATGGACATATGGATGTAATGAAGATGTATGTATGCATGCATGCATGCATGCATGCATGCATGCATGCATGTATGTATGTATGTATGTACGTGTGTGTGTATATATATATATGTATGTGAAAGTGCATGAGCATGTATACGCATATGCAGTATATGTATCTGTATCTGTGTCTGCATCTGTATCCTTCGAATGCTTGATTGTATATGCATGCATGGAAAGACAAACCAACAAACAAACAAAATAACTAACCATGCAAGCATACATGCTTGCCTGCATGCATGCTTTGTCATGCATCCACACCATAGTGTCGATGCGAGGCACATGTTGAGTATGTATGCGTGCATGCATGCATGCATGCATTTCTGCATGTGTTTGTGTGTGTGTATGTGCGTATGCACGCATGCATGTTGGCACGTATGCATCGTAATCTACAAGCCTCTACCTCTGTATGTACTTATGAACGCATGTGTGTATTTATGCTTGTGTGTGTATGCATGTATGTCCGTATGTACGTGCATATGCGCGTATGTAGGTATGCGGGTATGTTAGGTAGGTCGGTAAGCACATATGTACGCATGTATGTGGCATGGATGTGTGCACATGCTTTTGCGCTTGTGCTTGTGGGCGCCTGCATTTATCCAACAAGCAGATGCATAAGTGCTTGTGTGTGCCTGCACCTTTGCTTTGGTATGCGCTCTTTCTTTATGTTTACAGGGCTCCAAAAGTGGGATCACACCTCTTTTTTGCAAGCACAGGGTCCAGCAGCAGGTTCCGTTTGCACCGATCGTGTCAGAAGCGTTTCGAGTTTTGCGGCTCGGTTGGTGAACAACATAATACAACAGACAATAGAGCTCTATTTCTGGCACTTGTTGAACCGCGGCGATATAAAAGATTGCTGTCCGTCCATGATCCATAACAAGGGGTGTGAAGAATGCAGTTTTCGAATCTGCTTGGCGCTCGGAATGGAGAAAAAACTCTTGACCAATCTGAGAGTGCGGTGGTGGTTCATCTGACTGCAGATGGTCCAACTGTTTGGAGGCTTCCACAAAGCAGGATTGTGCCCAATGCGCTTTGGGTCCACTCTATTGGGTCCTCTTGTGTGGCGATAGGCCGCTGACGGCATAAACGTGGTCTGCGTTTCTACGGAATCAGGGTGGCGAGATGAGTGGCCTAATGATATAGACACAGAGCAAGGCGGTTTAGGGAATACAACTGAGAAGGAAATTATAACCTTTCTCGAGGACAAACAAAGCCAAGTCGGCCAGATATTGATCAGAACATTGAGCAGATCTGTGCTTCACAACCGGGGACAGTTTTTTGGTCGCCTCCATGGTGACTCTGTAAAAATCTTTCTGTGATTGCTAGAGCGAGGGTCAAGATAGAACCCCAGACATATGACTGCACCTTTAAGTTGGATTTGTAGGCTTTGCACTGGAGAGAGAAGCAAACCGGTAACTCCTCGTGCCATTGAAGTTGCAAACTTGCCACAGGAACTTTGATAGTCCTGGGTCTTTTTGCAACGCATCGTGTGCATGTCAGAAGTTGTCTTCATCCAGTTGGCAGAGAGCTGTCTTGCATTGTTCCCCCGGCTTCCTCGCGGCACACAGGGCTCCCCCTAAGACAGGCAGTAGACCGCCGACACCGATGCGCACCGACCTCACCTATGTCGTGGTCCCGGACCCCTCAGTGTAGAGCGCACAGCTGCCGGTGTGATAGAGAGCCCCAAATATCCCAAGTGAAGCCTCCGGGTTGGGACCGGCCGTTCTCTGAAGCAAGAAAAGGAAAGAAGAGGGAGAAGGAAACCCCACCCCGGTGGCGGATGAGAGCGGCTCGGCCTCCCAAATGCCTACACCACCTTCTCCCTCTCACTCTCGCTCCCTCTCTATATCCTGCTTCTTTGCTTGCCATTCTTCTGTTTGGGTTGCAGTCTCTGGGCACGCACACACACACACAAACACACGTATGTCCCTGGATGTGCTCTCCGATTCTGCATCCAACTTACAGGCGGCTGCTGTCTATACGATCTATGATGCACAACTATTTGTGCTCCTCGTGGCGGCGCACTGTGACTGCCTGCGAATACGGACACGAATGATTACGCACTGTAGATATACACGAATACGTACACACTCATTGATTGTACTTTATCTAAACTGCTAGACCTACTCATTGGATCTCATGGGTGGCTGTTTCAGCATCGCATTCTGCATGTAAGTGTTGCTGTCATCTGGTTTCGTGTTTGTATGTAATTCCGCGTGTATATATGCATGCATGCATGTACATGCGCACGTAGAAGCGCATGTGTCTCAGGATGCACGAACATGGGTAAGTCAAACAGGTGTTTCTACACGTATGAGCAAGGGGTTGATTATCCGCCTCAAAGATGACATGCCTCCCAACTACAGATAGGCATACGCAGCACTCACCACGACGGCAGCACACATAGCCTGCCGCATACGTATCACAGACTCGGCTACTGTGATGTCGAATGCCTGGTTCGGCCGTGTCACTCCACAATCCGATGACGTTGCCGAGTACACCTGCAGCAAGCACGACAACAATGTTTGAGCGTGAAGATGAAGCCATTGACGTCTGTCCTCCCTCCAACATTTTATGACGGGTATTTGGCAGTGACTGTGGTTTGGTCAACTCTCAGGACAGAACCACATTGGTAGGCTGAATAAGAGTATTCCCTTATTGGCCTGACTGGAGTGTTCTTGGATCAGGCAAGCTGCTGGCTTGACGTCTGTTGCCGGCCGTACATTTGGCATTTGGAAATAGAGATGTGTCCCGGAAGTCAACCGAACCACTTCTTGGCTGATGCTGCTGCTACTACTACTACTACTACTACTACTACTGCTACTGCTACTGCTACTGCTACTGCTACTGCTGCTGCTGCTGCTGCTGCTGCTACTACTACTACCACTGCTACTACTGCTAATACTACTACTGCTGCTATTGCTACAACACCCCAACGCTAAAGCCCATCTGCAGCATTCCTACGGTCAGAAAGGTCGGGAAGGGAAACCCCATCTGCAAAGCCTGAGCACAGGCCTTGGAAGGTAGACAAAGTCGTACACAGCTCGCCCAAGGGGTTCGAGCATATGCAGGAGCGAGCGAAGACTTGTGGAGGCCGGCAATGATCGCAGCATGATGGTCGTGGCATCCTCCTGCGGATCAGCGCATACTTCAGGCTTGGGGTGTTTTTAACTACTTACCTACTTTCAGTTCTTGGAAAGTCTTGGAATAGGATTTGTTGAGGTGCGGCTTTGGAGCCTTCGGGTAGGTCTTTGAAAATGGGCGAAGCTTGGCGCCACGCGCTAACCTAATGCCTTCAGCCCCAACGAGAACACAAACCCAGAAACATAGGTGTAGGTGCCACCCAATGCTACCTAATCAGAAAGTCGACCTTTGGAGAGGTATGACCCGATGAGGCCACTGGTCGCAGATAGCGGCAACAATGAGGTCGGACTGCCATTAGCACCCTACTTCAACTCCAGCTGCAGTGGCTACGATTGCAAATTTCAAACATCATCAACCTCATCATCATGTCATGCAACATACTTGTCATGGCCATCAGCCATCATCATCAGCCATCATCATCATCATCATCATCACCATCGCGAGCCTAGACCCTGCATCCTCCAAGATACCAGACGATACGGCAGATGGCTGCCACATAGGACGCTGCCTGGTAAGCATTGCAAGGTCTGCAGCTCAGTACAGGCGTCTGTGTATAGGAGCTACGATTCAAAAGATGTGGAAGAATCCGCAACGGCCCAGATTCCGGCATCTTCGTCTTTATGTGCCTGAAACTTTCCGTTCTCTCGGGCAGAGTTTGTACCTCGATCATGCGCATTTGCTTGAGGCCTTGGTCTGCATCAGACTTGGGAGGACCTTCATATTTACCTCCGTGTTGCTTTGTGCTCCTGAGCTTGAAGCACCGTGCGTTTGGAAAAAGGGGTAGGAATCGTGGCTTCATCAGGTTTCTGATACCCTGTCGCATGGACTTGGAAAGATATCTCAAGCGTAATGTGAACTGGTGCGAGTTCACATGTGCGGACTGTAAACTAGTTGTGAATGTTTCGCTCTCCCACAGCCTGCGGCTCGCCGAGCATGGCAGGGTCATATACAATTCATGCTCTGGACTGGCTTCACCAACCTAAACCAAGAACCTTGGTCTTGTGCACCTAACCACAGGGCGGGCCCTGCGGTTTCAATCCCAAGATAAGCAGGAGAATTGGGCTTGAGCCATACAAAACAAAGCAGCCTGCCCTTTGCGACCGTGGGCAGGCCATGATGTCCGACTCTCAACTTTTTAGCATAATTAGCATTCCAGCTGTCACAGCCGCTCCCAAGGAAAGAGTTTGTCTTTCTTTCCATCCTGCGATCGTCCAATGGCTCAGTCAGAATAGCTGGACGCAGTGTCAGAAGGGGGGATGCGCTCTCCCGATGTTTTAGGAGCTGCTCCGCAATGGAAAAACCTTCCTCACGGGACCGTCATGAGTGTGGAGTTCGAGGACGCGACCAGCAGCCCGACCTGCTGCAGAATGTCGCGAACTTCACTTCTTAGAGTGGACGAGGTGACAAGGCGGCCCAAAGGAGAGGCTGCCTCAGCGCCTCAGCCATGGTGAGGGTCTGGGCGAGGCCGCCGAACGGATAGAGGTTGACCTCCGGCCAGATGGACAAGCCCAGACCCGTAAGCCGAGGAAAGCACAGATGCAGCAATTGGTAGCAAAAGATGCAGCAAACAGTGTCCACGACGACAACGACGTTGACGACCACCACAAAAACCACCACCACCACCACCAACAACAACAACAACAGCAGCATGATGAACAACAACAGCCACGACGACGACGACGACAACAACACCACCACAACCGAAACCACAACCGCCTCCAGCACTACCACAACGACGACCCGAGCGCCACTAGCCCCGTCACAACCGCGGCTGGCCCCCATTGTAGTTGGACCAGCAATGGCACATAATGGCACCAGCACCAGCAGCGCGAGAAGCGACTGAAGCAGCAGGAGCAGCAGCAGAAACGGCGACTCATCGTTTCTCTTGGGGTGTGAGGCGTGCGGTGGAGGTGACGGGGCGAGGGTGCGCGCAGGCGCGCGAGCGTGGGCCCCTCGCCCCCTGCCCCCACCCTGTCCAGCACACTGGTGGATTGTAAGTTCGTCCAACCACGGTCGTGTGCAGTAAATTGTTTCTACTCTTACTTGGGGAGGAGGGACTGGGACGAAAGCTAGAAGCGTCAACAACCGAGGCCTTTCCAGCGCAGCCAAGCATGCATATACGCCAACGGTTCCGGTTTTGTACTCAGAAGCGGCTTCACAGCAAAGTGCGGAGTCGGAAAATCAGATGCGCCACTGTCGAACTGAATTAACTGGAGGTTTACGAACATTGGGGGAGAGGAGCGTATAGGTGCTATCAGGGGTTTAGGAGTTATAGGGTTTATGTAATTGGAAGTCTGTAGGGGTTTAGGGGTTAGGTTCATTTTACGGTTGAAGGGTCAGCGGTACTTACCGGGGTCGTAGTCCAGGGAACCCGTTTCCTGAAGCGCTATCATGATC